CCGGCCATCCCTATGTGGGATCCGAACCTGGGGCCTTGGTGTTATCAGCACCACACTCTCCCAAGTGAGCCACGGGCCGGCCCTACAGCAGCAGATATTTTTGGCTGCTATTCAAAATCCATCACTGCTACCTGTCCTAGGAAGCTCTTGGATTTTCATAAAACAATGGCTGTATTTACTGGAAGAAGAAATACATCCATGGTTCTGGTCCAAGCCTACCTCTCACATGAAACTTGTTTAGACCAACACAGTCCATGTTGGTCTGTCTTCTGAATCCATATTGTCTGTTGTTTTTACAGCTCCTCTGGCTTTTAACCATATAATGCTTCCAATGTTGATGAGATAGTTTAACTACTTAACTTTTTCCCCTCCCCCAATTTCTCTGTAAGCACCCTCATTGCAACTGTTCCCTTATATTCCATATACAGATATAATGTCTTAAATTCTAGTTTCTAGAACATAGCCTGAAAAGGATTAGGCAATGTTCAAGTTGTCTATACTTCCAGAAGTAACTAAGAGTCTGTTTCAAATTTGTTTTCATCCACCTGTCAATTACTTTTTGTTATTCTTTACTTTTATTACTTTTGTATTACTTTTTATCACAATAAAGAATAAATCAACAAATATTACAAAAATAGATTGTATTAGTATGACCATAGTACATTTTCAAACTACCAAAGGGCTATGGTGAGTGCACGCGGGGGTCATAAAGACACAGGATGAGCACCCCCAAGTAGTGCTATGAGCCCTCAGGTGGTAGGTATCATGCATCCCGTTTTATTCAGGGATTTCCAGATCAGACATTTTTTGATTTCCTGTGGTCTAGAGAGGACTCTGAACCATGGATACTTTTAGATCCTTGGAGATTGGTATGTAAATATCACAAAGCACAGCAAAATGTCTTGCAGTTCATCAGGAATTAGAAAAAATACTTCTAATTGGCTGATGTGCTTAAATATTACAACTTATTCACATAGACAAATCAAGTTTTGAGTTTTTTTTTTTTAATTCAGCATTTTCCCTGTTCTCTAACCTTAGAAAAGATATTCTTAGAAAATGATTTGGCAACCATCACAGAACATGACTAACAGTGCTAAAACAAGTACAAATTCATTTAACGACCAGAAGAATGACCAACTAAAATAGATTTCTAGAAAACTAAGTGTTGGATGTCATTTATATTATCATATAAAATAAAGCATAAAACATAAAAAACAACAAAATTTTCGATTTTACCTTCCAGAGAGGCAAAGAAAAAAAATAACAAAAAACCCCCAGGGCGTAATGAAAACCTAGGTTTGCACAAGATGAGCCCTAAAAGCTCTTTTCAGAAACAAGGCAGAGAGAAAATTTACTTCATAAATAAATGCCAGTCCTCAAGACAAAGTACTACTGATAATAAAGTGAGGTCAATTTTTAACACTTTCTACTAGTTTGTTCATGTTTCAGTGAAGAAGTAGAATGATGTCTTTTACAAACATCTGGCACAAACCTTAATTTGTTACCTTTTTAAAGACTTAGCTGAATTTTACCCTTTTATTCTATGGCCAAATCAGGGGCACTAACAGTAGTAAATGTTATACCTCTTCATCTAAAAAAGATAGCCTGTGGATTACAGAAAGGCTGTATATGATACATCAAAAGGCACTACTAAGAGGAAACAAATTCTACAACAGAGTAGATAGTGCTTTGCCCTGGATAAGTTGCATCTATACTGATTCTGAAAATCCTTTCTCAAAACACCATTATAAGCAGATTTCATGACACTTAGGCTTACAGCTACTACTACGTACTTTTGGTTTTATGCCCATTTTCCACTATGATTTTAGCCTTTTGCTAACTGACATCAACAATTTCTTGACCCTTGGACCACTATAAAAGATCAACTAGGTATTGAAATCTGAAAGGTATTGATAAATAGTTTAAGGCACAGGGACCCAAAGCAAGTGATGTCTGCTTCAATTTCTGGCCGCTTGTTTGTGTGAGAAACTGATGATGATAACTTTAATGAAAAACTACCTTGAACTTTTCTGAGGACATGAAATATCCTGTATCACACCACATTGGGCTAGAAATGAAAGAAAAGTGGGCCCAGAGATGGTAGGTACCCAGTCACAAGCTCTGGTGCCACGGAGACCACTCTGGTAGCAGTTGGTGGCCCCCATGGGGAAATGATTTTTAGGTATAGACCTCAGCATTTTCCAACTGTGCACTGTTAAGCTGTGATAACCATTAATCTCAGAAGCTTAAATCAATCAAAGCTTATTTCTCACTCATACTATCATGGGTTGGCAGGTAGGCTCTGCTCATTGTGCCAGAGTTTGGAAAGACAGAGCTATGAATGCTCTTGCAGTGGCAATACATATATATCATTTCCACTCACAACTCACTGGACAGAACTAGTCATGTGACTGACAGATCACAGGGGACAGGAGGTGCAATTCTATTAAGTGCCCAGAATGGGGGAGAACTGGTAAATGCATTGACTGCAACACATTATTTCATAAAATAGTAAGATAAAATGATTACTTGGAAAACCATGAACTTTCTCTTGAAAATTTCTGTCTATTTCCTTCCCACATTAGGAAATATATTAAATTCTGAATGATAACTTGCATTCTGTCTCTGGGTTCACAGCAGGCCTATGTAGGGAGTTAGACTTACACTATTTCTATTTTTGCTCAAATTCTCGGTTTTAAGTTACAGTATCAGTATCAAGAGAAATAATTAATTGGTGTTGTAGACTAATCCATATGCCACCAAAATATAATAGAATGCAAATGAAACATGTCTCCATATGCCTTTCTCATTTGTTATTTCCTTATTCCGGTTCTTCATAGACATGCTCTTTATATAGGCAGACATCTCTTCTTCTAATTTATTATGCTGATACATATGCATTTTGTTGTAATTCTTAGTTATTATTTTTATTCTCACATATATGAAACACTTGAAGAGTCAAATGGTTCTACAAGGCTTGTTATGAAAAACAGTTCCCACAACCCCACCCTCCACTTCCTGCTCCCCCAAAGCAACCACTTTCAATTCTTTCACCAATTTTGGGGAGTTTTGTTTTCCACCTGTAAATCTCTAGCTTATATTGCTACTTCTTGATTTTTCTAGAGAGTTTTACCTACTGATTTTCCACTATGGAAGGTGAAGATGAGCTCTACTGCCCACCATGCCTGCTGCCTCCTCTCCCCATGCAAACACACAGTTCACACCCCTCATCTTCTCCATGGTTATAGCATGATTTTCATTAGATTAACAGTCAGTAGGCTTACATTATAATGTCTATGTAAAATTCTAGTCACAGCTCAGTTACAAGGTTTATCGTAACCGTTCTTTTCCTACATATACTTCGTTTTTCTTTGGGGTTAATGACTGTCCTTCCAGCAGCTTTTCTGTATTTGTTTTCACTTGTCTTTCATTACCAAATGCTCTCAAGTGTCTGGTGATCCTTGGCTGTCTTGTTCATATAAAATAGTGTAAACTAAAAAGCTAAGAGGAAATTTTGTGTTTGGATGGGGCATGCTCCACTGTAAAGTGAACTGGCTGTTTCCTTGGAGAAGCCCTAAGGTCAATATGTTTGTGGTGTGTGCGTGTGTGTGTTTGTGTATCTTCTGCCTAAACAAAACTTCCAATCTCCTGCCTGGAGGGTTATACATACTGGTACTCTGGGAAGCAAGTGGGAGACTCCTGAAGGGTCTCAAATTTAGAATTTAAATATATTCATCACCCCCTTTCCAGTAGGGTAGTCCCATACTGGAAAGTGCCTGACTTCTCTCAGTCCGGAGACATTCTGTTATACTTTACACTTTTCAGAGAATTAAACTTCCAGTCTTCTGCTAGAGTGGCTAAGGGAATCTAATTTTTCTTGAAGAAACTTCTGACCAGTTCTCAAGTCTTCAGTTATACCTTCATCCTCATTGCCAGTTCCTGAGCTTCTAGAGAATTTTACAATCTAAGTCAAGATGTGTCTTGGTTTTTACTTACTGCTGACTTAGGGTTTAGCTTTCTTTGGCTGCTTAGTTACCACTAGCCATCTATTTTCCAAGTAACTAAATTTTGTTGCTGTTGTCTTCTCTCCTGTTTTCTTATTCTTTAAGGATTTACCTTTACACTATTGTCCTCACAGTGGAGTTTTAGGGAAGAGTGGAGCTAAATACTTACATTAAAGGTGCCATCTTTTATAAACTACAGAATCACAGTTCCTACACACCGAAAGGGGCCCCAAGAAAGGATGTAGTGAATTCTTCCCTTCATAGAGCAAAGTATGTTGTTTAATTTGCAGATGAGGTGGTTGAAACATGATTAAGCAGAGTGTCTTGCCCAAGGGCATACAAGGTCATACAGATAGACACCATGATGTTATCTATTGTACACACCTTAAATAATTATCCCTCAAAGGTTTTAAAATTTGTTTTTTTCTAATTTAGGACCATTTCAGCTATAGCTAGATCCTTTTCTGTATTAACTTTACATCTGCATTATCCTCCAGTAGGCACATGAGTTCTTCATATTAGAATATTAGAGGTTAAACTAGCTATAAAATGTGGTTAAATGTGAAGTTCTTGTGAAGTCGGCTTATAACAATTTCAGACACAACCAGGTTTTGAAAGCAGTTGATATGCTTTGGATATGTCCTTATGAGAAATGTATAGAAAGGAGCAACTACCAAGACACCATAATTCAAATGTAGTTTATACAGCTTTTTCAAACAATTGACAAAATAATTATTTTTAATTTTCAAGAAATGCTTAAAACTGAAAAAAACACTTTGGTTTGTTTCAAGTGTCATAATCTCTTATTTGGTAAAATGTCATTCATTAAATTTTAGAGAAAAAACAGGCTTTGACAAAAAAGCATTTATAGAGGAAAAAGGACTAGGATTTGGGAAAAACTCAACTTCTTTTAAATTGGTGCTACTTTTTTTCCTGAGTGTAATATAGACCACAGCCTTTAAATATTACTAAATTATAATAATAAAATTAAGATACTTTTGATGAAATCATTCATTTTAATCTGTAAAAGTTTTAAGAGCTTTATAAAACTGGTCACTAAAGAAGCTTTCATAAGTGCAGCACCCTAGAGGAAAATGAAGGATAAAAAGAGAACCGCCCTTCAATACTTACAGATTCTTTTCTGCCCATGGTTTTGCTATGTGAGCGAGAACGAGAGATGTTGGTAAAGAAGGAATCTTTTTTAGTAGCAGATGAAGGTGGGGAGCCAGTGAACTCTCTTCCCCCAGGCAAACTCTCAGCACTTGGAGATGAACTGATGTTTTTAGAACTTTGCCCTGTAAGAAAAATTAAGTAGCAGTAATGAAACACCAGACTCTTTCACTAAGCTATTGACTCTATTGCTTTTAATAAATGATGATCAAGTAAGACATCACTTTGTTCACACTGTCAACATAATGATGCTGTGGGGTACTAATGTGTGCATTTTTATGTGTCAGATTAGCTGCCAATTTTCTGAAACAATGAAGTGCCATGACAGTTTTGTAAATGTAATTTATATTACAAGAATCTAAGTATTGTACACACATAAAAAAACTAAAAAATCCAACTCTCATAAATCAACAGTTAAATGACTAGATTTTCTTTCACTAATGGAATCATCCCTTAATTATACAAACCAGAACCTCTGCAGTGCATATTGTACTGGTAAGATTAAAAAATCTAAATTCTTTGCCAAAGTTTTTCAAAAGGGTCTCTTTCATATGGCTACCCCCAGCCTATGGCAGAATCTGAAAATGAAACAAAGTGCTGGCTCACAGGGCCTCTTTTTAGACCTGTCCCCTCATTAGAGTAGGTACATCTGTGATCCCCAGCACTGCCTTTTTTACTGAGAAGATCTGGAGTCATAAAGCTTTCAGACAGGAGCAAGGGCTCTAGTAAATCCTGCTGAGAGGGTGGCTTGGTGTAGAAGGCCAGCATACAGAATTGGCTGAAGTCAGACCCATGCAGTTCTCATTTATATAATAGGAATACTTTCATAGGTTATTATGGGGACTTAATGACCTGGCCAGATACATATGGGTATGGGGAGACAGTGGACACTAAAACTGTCAAAAATCCCATCCCTCATGGAGTATACTTTCTAGTGAGGAGAGACAAACATATTAGTAAAACAGATATGATTTTAGATGATAGTAAGTGCTATGAAAACAAAGTAGTAATGGGGGTGTGAGTGTCAGAGGAAGGTATTGCAATTTTAAACAGAATGATCAGGGAAGGTGTCACTGAGAATTGAGGTGCACTGATATTTGAGCAAAAACTTGAAGATGGTGAAGTACCAGAATTACAGAAAATATGAAAAACAGCAAGTACGAAGGCCCTAAAGCCTTTGTGTGTTCAAGGAACAACAAGGTGGCCAGTGTGGCTAAAACTAAGAGTGAGGGGAGAGGGGTAGGAGATGAGGTTTGGGAGCAAGCAGGGAATTAGACCAGGTAGAGATTTACAGACAATTTTGATTACTTTTACTCTGAAAAGGGAAGCTATGAGATGCCACTTAAGGGTTTGAGCAGAGCAGTGACATGATTTGACTTACATTTTAAAAGGATAATTCTAGCTGCTGTTTTGAGAATAGAATTGGGGAGATGGGGAGAAAGGCAAAGGCAAAAGCAGGGAAACCAATTTTTGCTACTGCAAAAATCTAAGTACATAGACTTACCATAGCTTGGTGGTAGAATTTGTCAGAATTTGGACAAAATTAACTGGATTTACTGATGAACCCATCGGGGATATGAGAGAAAGTAAGGAGTCAAGTTTAACCCCCAATTTTCGGCCTAAGCATGAAGAATGATGGAGCTACTATTTACTGAGTCAGGCAAAAGAAGGGGAAGCAGGTTTTAGGAATAAGATCAGCAATTTAGTTTTAGACCTATGGAGTCTGAGATGCTGAATCAGTGATCCAAGTAGAGATGCCATGCAGGTAGTAGGGAATGAGTCTGGATTTCAGGGGAGAGATCTGAGCTAGAGGTAAACTTGGAAGTGAGTAGCATATGACTATATTGACAGCTATGAGACCAGATGAGATCATCAACAGAGAGGAGATATACAGAAAAGGGGTTAGGTCCAAAGATTGGCCCCTGGGAAACGTTAAAATTTAAAAGTCAGAGACATCACAAGAAAGCAGCAAAGAGGTAGGAAGAAAATATAGTACAAAATAATAGATGCTTCATATAGTAATCTTCTCCGATCTTGGGTCACCAGGTACAAAAAAGTTATCACATTATAGTTGGACTAGTAATTATCTGTTCCCAGTTTTCTGTCCCTGATCTCAAGACAATTCTATTCCACTGAAGCCTCCTCTGTATCAGGCACTTGGGATTCATATTCAGTTTCTGTCTTCTAAGAGTTCAGAACCTAGGGGCAGGGGGACAAATGATAAACCAAGTGTGATGTTAAATCAAATTTGGTCCGAGGTTGCCTCGCCTCCATATGTAGCAAACTGCAACCTAACTTAGTGTGTAAACAAACTGCAACCTAACTTAACAGTATCTTCTTGAAACAAGTAGCTGAGTCCCAACCAGTCACAGGCTGCCAACTGATCAGTACTTGTCCATATAAGGCAAGTGCCAATCAGGCTATTTATGTCACACCACATTGCTGGTGTGACAATTTACACTTGCTTCTCAGTGTTTATTGGAAATAAAAGTAACTAAGAGTTAAAAGTTCTAATTAATATATGTAACCAAAACTACTAGAAATAATAAGTGAAACAATTCTATATGCAAGTACATGAAGAAGGTAAGATGTGCTTTTCGTAAGGGAAAGTTATAAGGTATGAGGATGTTTTGTTTCATTAAGGGAAAAAGAGAGTAATTTTTGTTCTACAGCAGAATGACTGGTTGTTTCAAAATGAGAAAAAGGAAAGTATATCGAACAAAAACTGAATAAATAAGAAAGCTTGTTTGTGCAAGATGAATGCTGTGAAGGAAATTTTATGATCAACTGGCAGAGATTAGAAAGCAATTATTTCTAACAATTGAGCATTAATATGAACAGTACTGTGAAGCAAAATTAGAATTTGGTCCTCTGTTAAAACAACAAGGTTTTCTTGGAGTACTGGTCTCTTTTCAATAGGAAATTATGAAAGATTTTTCTTTACCTTTTAGGTAATTTGCCTAGGAAACAAAGATTCTGTGTTTTATCAAGATATTTCCAATGGTTCATGTTGTCTTTTTTTTTTTCCTCCAGAATTGCTTCCTGCAGCTACTGTGCAGATTTGTGACTGAGCCATGTTGTCTTTAGCAGGTTTTTAATCACTTAAGAAAACTGAGTCCTCTCTATTAAAAGAGCTAAGGTTTTCTACAACTATTAACTTTCTGAATTTGACTTAAGAGTCTTTAAATGATCACTCTGGTTAAATGAATGAATATTATTCTATAGTGACCTGCAATCCTATTTTGATCAAGTGGTTTAAACCTTTGATATTTTTGACAAACTTTCAAAAGTCAAATTCTAAAGTCTTTTTCTTGACCTTGAATTAACTCTGAGGTTTTTCAGATGGACCCTTGGAACATCTCAAAAGTATAGCTCTCCTTATACAAAGTGAGATATACTAATTGGTTTTATTCAATATATTAAATTATGTGGGAAACATTGTCCAGTAATTCTAAACACCATCTTTGTGCTAAATATATGTATAGATGTATTATTAATATATATTCCAGAAATTGTATGAAATTCCTGGAGATCTGATCATACTACTAGACTGGGTAAAAAGTCCCAGACCTGTCATGGAGAAACTGTTTGGTTTCATAAAACTACTAACCCAACATCAAGCAGAAGAATTAATTGAATACCAAGGAAACACTTTGGCAGGATTTCATGCTTAGTAAGCCGGTACTGAAATTGTGAAGATATGCAATCTGAATGAACTCCAGATTGATCCAAGTCAAATCACCTGTGATAACCTATTTTATAAGCAGTGGTATGCACCTGAATTGGAGAAATAAAGCTGGTATTCAAGAGGATATAAATACATTGTTAATGGTGGACTCATGTAGAGCCTGGATGGCCGCCTAGTCCTTCTTGAGTCCTTAAATGTTCCATTACTAAAAGCTCTGCACTCTATGACTCATCATGGAGTAGATAAAGTAATAAAAATTATAAAAATATATATATAAAAAATTTGACTTCTAAATTTCCTAAAATGATTTGTAACCCATGTTTGCTTTGTCAAATCCATAATTCTGGTAAGGCAATTAAAAACTTCAGGTTATGTATTTCCAGAACCTGCTGGATCACTTGAACACTTACGAATGGATTTCCTTCAACTGTCACCTTCAATGCATGTTTTCTGGTTGTATAGAAGTTTTCCCATTCAAGAAGGCCAATGCTATAACAGTATCTAAAAGGTCATTAGAAAATGTTTCACTTAGGGGCATTCCTGAAAAAATCTCCAGTGATAGAGGTACTCATCAAACTGGACAAATTATAAAACAGTTAAATAAGGTATTATAGGGGCCGGCCCGGTGGCGCACTGCTACTGTGTGCCGCTTGGGAAGTGCGGCGGCACTCCCGCCGAGGGTTCGGATCCCACATACAGACCGGCCGCTCACTGGCTGAGCGAGGAGCGGGGGCAACACCGAGGGTTGCGATCCCGTTGCTGGTCCCGGTCCGGTACGGGCGCGACACTGAGGGTTGCGATCCGTTGCCGGGCACGAAAAAAGACAAAAAGACAAAAAAAAAAAAAAAAAAAAAAAAAAAAAAA